GTCGCCCTCGCCCCCCCCCCTTCCCCCATATCGTCGCCTACTTCAAATCCGGTCTAAAACCGTGTATATCGTCGCGGGTCGGGAAGAATCGATGCCCAGACTGCCATAGGATGTCCTCAAAATGTTTCTTTGGAATCATTCGCTTTGTTCATGCAAATAAACAACGGGCACTTACCGGGGAAGATTGAAGACGAGGTGTTCTGGTGTTAGGGGGCAGATTTCGTAAGGGCAATATTAACATAATCTATGCAGGATTTCTATTAATTAATTTTATAACTAACGGGCCCGTTATGGATTAATAAACGCGCTGGACATTGTAAGCATAAAAACTAAAACAAATTCGAGACTGAAGTAAACAAAAACGACAGCGAACAGTGTCACTGCGATGTGACCCTTGACCTATAATAGGGGACCGTCCATTCTTCAACAAGGCAGGGGTGACACGTATTCTTCCGTGCAGCGAGCTTTCGTTGCGCGCAGCGAGGTCGCCGAGGAATCTCTTTCTGTGCAAGCGTGAGTAAGCTCTTGGCAGGCACGACGCAGGTATTCGTGCGCAGACGAGGAAGCTCTTTCTGTGCAAGCGTGAGTAAGCTCTTGGCAGGCACGACGCAGGTATTCGTGCGCAGACGAGGAAGCTCTTTCTGTGCAGGCGTGAGGAAGCTCTTGCGCAGGCGACGCAGGTGTGCGCGCAGGCGACGCAGGTGTGCGCGCAGGCGACGCAGGTGTGCGCGCAGGCGACGCAGGTGTGCGCGCAGGCGACGCAGGTTTGTCCTTGTCGGCCACGGTAGCTTTCACCACTATTACTGTGGGATGAAAAATTAATCCTTGAGATCTTAAACCAGCGGGTGGACTGTTAAGCGTCTCAGAGCGGCCTTGACTTAATGTATTATACATTTAGATCAATTTTGATTTCTTTAGCACATGTACACTGTGAATGTACATGTGCATGTACACTTTAGTACAATGTTTTCACTGTTACCACTGGAGACGACCCAGCAGATCCAGAATTATACTCCTGAGTCACAAGCTGGTGCATAACAGATGAGAAGGATGCACGTTGAAGTCGTCGTCGTCTAACGATGGACAACCAAGTAGTACGGGTACCGGTAAAACAGGACGCGTAATGAGAGGTTTGATGCCTCGTGCTGTTTCGGTCTGTCGCGTGTCAATTTAGTCTACCGACTAGACTGGTAACATTTGTAAAGCAAGTGCATAATGTTTACCTTCGCATATGGTCTGCTCTGTTAATTCTTACTCAAACACATTCACATATTTGGTCAGACAGGAGTCTAAATCCCTCCTGCTATAGAATTGCAACATGATGTAACCCAACACCAGTTACCATGATGAGAGACGGTCTAGTTCAGGTCATTGACCAGGTCAGAGGTCACTGTTTGGAGAAGAAGAGGAAACTAAGCAAAAACAATATGTTTTCCTTCGGTAAACATAAAAAAACATTCATACCAAAAGCACGGAACTGAATTCGACTCGGCACTCGTTCCAATAGCCTGCCTTATATATACATTCAATTGCAACTACGGGATGTATGAATACGTTCACACATAACTGAGCCCCATTGCCGTATCCCATTGCCCCCCTTCGGAAAACCTTCCGCCAGAATTCAATAAACCTTCTTCGTAAGAGAAAAAAGTAATATACAGCTATTCCACAGGTGCAAAAACCAACTCTGCTGTAGCCTTGAATATGGAAACACGACTATTAAGCACTACGCTTGCTGGCGAGGGTATGGTGTCCCCGTGTGATCGTGAATGCATGGCCGGTGACTGATGGAGGATTCCTGGTTTGTCTCCAAGCCGTACGCGTAAAGAGGATCAACTTTAAATCAATCATCTTTTTATTTCCTCCGGTCCGCGGCTAATGGGGGAAGACGGGCCACGCAGCTGGCTTTTATCGTCTTCCATCTAAACCCACATTCTCCCCTCTCGTAGTAGAAATCACCAGGGGGAATATAGGCTTAAGGTTTAATTGTTGAAACCAGACGCCAGCTAACTTTAAAGATCTTCTGGGTCATTAGTACCTTTATCAATATCCAAGGAAAGAATAAAACAGTTTTATTAACAGTTTATTCATAAAAACCAGCCTCGCAGCCTGTATACAAAAACATGCTGAATAACACTGATCTTTTTACAGCTACTTGTCTGCAATTAACATTGCAATACATATACAAACACGCGAACAAAAACATTACAAAAAGCCTCACATGGGCACTAAAGCAAAGACCAGATAAAGTGCACATTTAACAATGCGGACGGGGAACTACTAGTATCTACATCAGTAGTCTAGGGACACAAACGCATGTACATGTACGTGCGTACGATTGAAGATGCGGCACGCTGCACTTTAGTAGCCTTTCTTGGAAAAGCATCCAAGCAAGGAGGTCTTGATTTAAGAGCGACTGCAGACGGTAGTTTCAGTGGGCGTTGAAAATAGAAGGCATTACGTTACGGGGTGGATGGAGTTTCTACAGCGGGGGAATTTGTAATATTGCGTCGTATTCGTTTTCAGCCTGCAAAATGCTCTCCGTCAGGTGACTAGCAGGACTGGATTCCAGGAATCAGCTCAGCAAAGTTCATGGATCATCACAATAAACTTTCCGTAGTTTTTTCATTAGCATTACACGAAGGACATGGGCAATGAGACGTACACTTAAGTTGCAACTTATTTGGTTACGCCACATACACACAAAACAACAATAATCAAGTAATCATGTAAATGTAATTAACAAATAACTAATTAAGATATTATAACTAATATATATATGCGTGTGTGTGTGTGTGTGTGTGTTTGTGTGTGTGTGTGTGTGTGTGTGTACTAAGAAAATGAAAAGTATCTATTTGATGGACATGTACGTGTCTTTGTCATGACTTTCTGCAGTTGAGTAAGACACTTGTTGATGATCAACTTGCACCATCAACTTCGACTTGAACCAACTTCAAAGCTTCTACCCAGTTTAGAGTTCATAATCAAAGAAATAGTGCCTCCATAGCATAGTGCCTCCATAGCATAGTGCCTCCATAGTGACTCGAATATTCTAACTTACCCACACATGTTGGCGGTGCATCGCTCCACACCCTGTCGTCCCCGGTGAGGCAGGTGATGGTGGCGGTACCGTGCATGGTGTAACCAGGGTCGCAGGTGTAGGTGATGGACTCTCCGGCCGAGAAGACGGCGGCCAGCGGGCGGGAGGCGTATGTCGGCGTCCCGGGGTCATCACACTGGCGTACCCCGATGTCAACAGCTGAATAGAAAACGATGGAGTATCGACGATGAATAAACAGCATGAAGTAAAGATATTTTCATGGTCATCGCTCTGCAGAACTCACCCAACTAGTTCCACCACTCAGAACTTTTAAGCGGTCCAATGGTTCGAAATATTTTCACAGTTTCTTTCCCCGTGCGGCCAAGCTTTGGAATTCCCTCCCTGACAAGTGTTTCCCACCAACCTACAATCTACAGGCTTTCAAATCAAACGTTCACCACCATCTCTTGACAAAGTCATGTTTCTGTCATCTTTCTAGTCCAATGCTGAGAAGTGGTCGCATTGGCTTTGCATTGAAATACTCCGTTAAAAAAAGATCCTGTGGGCACAGCCCACTAATTCCAGCCCCTATTGGAATATATGGAAAACATCTAAGAACTGAGCTGTCAACAATCACCTACTTGAGTGTTCAACTATTGCAAACACATATTGACAGGGTAGTCCAACTTCCAAATTGTCAATTTAGTCCAAAAATTTCACTTTTTGACCAGCGATACCTGGCACGGCAAATGCAAACACTGGCAGCATGACCTCTGACCCCCTTGAAGACCACCAAAAGACAAGAAGATGGGATTAGTTTTAGAACCTACCAAGCAGCCAAAACAACCCTAACAGCCAGTTTTTTCAAGTTAATAGAAATAGAAATAACTCTCCAGCTGGAAAATGCC